TACGCGCCAACTTAAAGTCGCGCTGCAGCGTCGTCACGAATGACACTCTATCGACTTAAAAACTACAAGGCGTCGTCAGAATAAATACGAGGACATAGGATATCGCGTTTAAACTCGGAATTTTTACGATTGTGGAAGCACTGAAATCTTAGCTTTCCTACGAGACCAAGATCATCTTGCTATGATATTTCTGTGCGAAGATATTGATGATTATATTGACTCGTGATCTCGATCTCGGTATAGAATTAATTTTATTTCCAAAATTCATTAACGATATCGCACAAAGTAAGGATCCGTGATAAACGATTCTTATCTGGTTAGAAGCTCTGAAATCTTAGCTTTTCAACAAGACCAGGTACATCTTGCTACGATTATTCTGTGCGAAGAAATTGACGATTATATCGAGTCCTGATCTCGATCTCGGGACAAAATTAATTTTATTTTCAAGATTAATTAACGATATTTCATAAACTAATGATCCGAGATAAACGATTCTTATCTCGATAGAAGCGCTGAAAACTTAGCTTTCCAACGAGGCCAGGTTCATCTCGCTACGATTTTTCTGTGCGAGGAAATTGACGATTATATCGACTGGCGATCATAATCCTGAGACAAGCAGCAGACGGCTCGTATATGCGGTGTGTCGTGCGGCGTCATGCGTGGCCGGTGTTTACTATCGAACACCTGTGCTTTGTATGTTTTGATGCCAGTTTTTTGATGCTCGTTTACTACTGGCGTAAAAACTCGCGCGCATTCTCAGAAGAATTGTGCGCGCGCTCGCCCGATTTTTGAAACGCTGTAACTCGGCGAAAAATTGACGTAGCGACACGAACCAAAAACCAATCTTCTTCTTTTCGCATCCCGCAGCTATTTACATTGAGTATGCATGCTCTTATCATGAAACTGACGTACAATGGAATAAAAAGTAAAATACTGAAATATAAATTATACAAATAATTGCTAAAAGTTTTGCTAACAATACAGTTATGTTAGAATGTATAGCAAGTATATGAAAATGTGATTTTTTATCATTAATCATCATATTTTATTGATATGCTTTATTTCTACTAACCTTTTGGCTTAATTAAATGTGTCAAGTTTTGTATTAAACTTGTATACTTTTTGTCGGCAAAATTTGTAGCACACACTGTTCTGGATATTCTTGAACTAGAAAATTATTTAAACATTCTTTTGTTCATACAAGATTGCTCAGTTTATATCGGACAATCAATACGCTTGCACTTTGATGAAATTAAACTTTGCATTGTTCTAATTATAAATAAACTAATACCTCTCTTTTTTATTAGAATAAAATTTTTATTCGATAAAAACAGGCCAACTTGTAGCGGCCCTCCACCACCCCTGCCGATTTTCGTCGGCGGTCCTCTTTTCTTTACAATTTGGTTTTATCGTGTTTATTGTTTATTTCATTTTACTTTTAATTTACTTGACAATGCATACAAGATTATAAAAAAAATAATTATTGTACATTATAAAATTAAAAATAAATTATTTGTACAATACAATATTTCACTTGACATTACATATGAAATATTCAGTGTGCACACAATAACACGAAATTCTTGTAAAGTAAAATATGTGTCTATTGTGTATATTTATCAAAGTTTTTAATATAATCATCGAATCATACAATACTTCCACAGTTTATTTGATTTTATTTAATTTATGTATGTAATTGCAACCAAATAGATCGTTAGTAAATTTATTATTTCTGTATCTTAGCCGTATTCCGACTTATAGACCTACACTGAGAAAAATGTCCGATTAAATATAATCGGATAATCCAATTACATGATAACAAACGGATATATCCGATGAAATTGTATATCCGATGAAAAATTTGATCGGTTTTTCAATCATATTTCATCGTTAATTGCAATTCATCGGATAAATTTCATCGGATACATCCATAGTTTAATCGGAAAACGTAATCGGAAAAATTAACCTTCGGACATACTATTTAATTGGTTTATCCGATGAAAATTTTTCTCAGGGTACCTATTCATTTTCTACTTACCCGTGTTTCAACAAATTTACCGTTTCAACATTACCGATTTTAACAATTTATAACTCTCTTATTAGTGCCGAGCGACGATTTTAACTTACACATTTGTGTTTTACAGGCAAAAATACACGATCCTGTGAATTTTCATCAAAAACGGAGAGTGAGAGACTCTCCTTCTGTATTACCTGGAGACTTTATCGACAGTGCTTGGAAATGGGCGTAGAGGAGTAGTTCCAAAAATAAAAGTGGGCGTAAAGCGCTGGAAACAGCCTAGCGAAACGGTAATAAGTAAAACGCCGGTGTGGCAGCTGCTCTCAGTTTTCTCTCTGGATAAAGAGAACAGACACTCTCGGCCGCGATTGTCATTAAAGTGCGCAAAGTGCGTAACTGGTGCAGCAACGAGGAGCTGGTGCGACTCGAGCGATTCCGAATTAGCGAAGAAGATACGAGAGTACGCGTAAAATCGTGCGTGATCAGTTTAATAACCAAATTTTTATCGCTCGTCGAAATTGTCGATGAGACTGGAACGCTTAGAACGTTAAATTAGAAGTCAAATTAGTTTATTTGCGTCTTAACCACGTGGTGTGTCTGCATGTTATTTCTCACGTTGTTCGCTTCATCGAGTTGAATTTTCGTTCCAGATGCCGTCCGTAACGTTAAAAGACGTGGACCAGCAGAAGTTCGTGAAGGCATTCGCAGCCTTTCTCAAGAAGTAAGGAATATCCATGGAATAATTAGAACCTAACCTACAAGTAGAAACTCCCTACCCTAGAATTGGGAGCATTCCAGATAAAAAAAATGTGGACAATTAGAACCTAATCTAATGTTATCCAATTAGAATATAATAATTGATCTCTCTAGAATTGCGAGCGCTCCAAATAAAAGAATGAGTAGGATAATCTAAAAAGCAGTATCTCCATTTTTTGGCCACTGTAGTTAACTCACTTTCTATGTTTCTTAGAGAAATGTCCAGTGTCCTACAAGGCTAGAAAGCAGTAAGAGCGCTAGATTAACATAAAATAATGAATACACGTTGCAGTATGTCCACCTGTTATTAACAGTATTTCTCTAAGAAGCATATAGAGAATGAGTTACCTACAATGGCCAAGAAATGGAGATACTGCTTTTTAAGTTAGGACGGCAGAATAGGAATCTGGGGGTCAATTCTGTATCTTACGCTATAGCAAAAATGCTAAAAACGAATGGCTTTGTCTCTTTCTATCCGTCCCTTTAAAAAGAGACAAAGCAGCTCTTAGCATTTTTATTATATTGTAAGATACAGAATTGACCCCCTGATCAAATTAATCTCGCGCTCGCGATTCTAACGTAACTCGCATATCTATTATTCTCATTCATTTCTGTTATTTAAAATAAATGAAGCAATTGATAAAAGATAAGTGGTAATTTAAAATAACAAAATTAATATTTTTTTATGTATCTACCTCTTATTATTTACTTTTTCTTATGAGGCCACAATTTACGAAAAATTCCTTTATCGTTCCTAGTAGTAGATATGCTTAGGGACAGTTCAGTGCTTCGAGATATGTCATTGCGATTCGACATTGTACTCTGTGAAATTGCAGAACCGGCAAGATGCGCGTGCCAGAATGGGTGGACATCGTGAAGACTGCCAAATTCAAGGAGCTGGCGCCCTACGACCCCGACTGGTACTACATCAGGTGCGCGGCCCTGGTGCGCCACATTTACATCCGAAGTCCCATCGGGGTCGGCGCGGTGACGAAGATCTTCGGCGGACGCAAACGCAACGGCACTCATCCCAGCCACTTCTGTCGCTCGGCGAGCGGTGTAGCGCGCAAAGCGCTGCAGAGCCTGGAGCAGCTCAAGCTCATCGAGAAGGCGCCTCTCGGCGGACGTAAACTGACCAGTCAGGGTCGCAGGGACCTCGATCGTATCGCCGCGCAAGTAAAAGCTAAGAGCAAAAAGCAGCTCAAGCTTCAAGAGACGGTTGTAATTTAAAAACTCTGTAATAACAAAAATGTAAAATCTTAACTCTATTCGTTAGATATACACGAGTGTATATAACTTTATCGTTTTAACAAAATTTATTGAATTATATTCAAGAATTGGAAATTCACGATTCGGGCTTCGAGGATACCTTCTACTTCACATTAAAGCTAAAAGCAAAAAGCAGCTGAAGCTTCAAGAGACTGTTGTAAGTTAAAAACGTTTCTCTGTAATAAAAAAAATGTAAATCTCAACCCTCTATTCATTAGATGTATTCGAGTGTATATAATTTCATCGCTTTGACAAAATTAATCGAATTATATTCAAGAATAGAAAATTAACGATTTGGGCTTCGAGGATGCGTTCTACTTCACATTAAATTATGAGGCGAATGGGTGTAGAAAAATGTCCCGTGCGGTATAAATAAATGCATATACTTCTTTTTTAATAAAATAATATAATTAATTATTTATATGTATATGTTTGCATTCACACATAAGAAAAATTTCACTCTGATATTTCGATACAATGGAACACGTCACACGTTTATTATTATTACAAATTACAAATTGATGTAGAGTATTACAGGGCAATGATCGCTGCCATAAACCTGCTTCCTTATTACGTTATCGCACACTTTATTCTTGATCCGTTCTGATATCAAGAAATAGTCTAGTCGCCTATACATAGAAAATTATTCATAATTTTTAATGCACTCAATTATGATCAACGATAAATATTATATAATGTATTTATACACTTTCTCATAAATAGGTAGAGAGCTTCAATAAAAGTAACTGATATACTTGCCATCCAATATCCTTGTTGCGTGCATTGGCAAAATACGACCAGAATGTATATGCACCTTCTGTGTCAGGATATAATGATCTGAAGGTATCAACGAATCCGGCAGCTAAAAAGTCGGTCATACCGTCTCGCTCTTCTTTAGTAAATCCAGCATTTTTTGCGTTTGTCTTGGGATTCTTTAAATCTGAAAATCAACAATACCAAGCCAACGTTAGTATTTCTATTGCTTCACTCACATTTACTAATTGCTGATACTTTATGTTTAAAAAAAAATCTAAGTTAAATGAATGTAATACTGATACCAATTTCTTGATGAGCCACATTCAGATCGCCGCATATGATAACTGGCTTCTTTTGATCCAATTCCTCGATGCGTTTCTTGAACGCTTTATTCCACTCCAGTCTTTTCGGTAATGTCACCAACTTCTGCCCGGCATTTGGCACATCTATCGTATCATATTCTATTATTAAACATGTAAGCGATACTTTCAATGAAATTAGAGATAGTGCAATACAGAGAAGATAAATTATACACTTGAAAATTATATCACGTGTAATAGAACCGCGTATAGAGTCCAATTTTTATGATTGTAGAATACTACGGTCCGGTTGCACCAACGTTGTTTATCTTAAGAGGCCTGTCAGGGTGTAACTTACAAACATTAACCACGAAAAATTCTGGAAACTCCGCCATGATCATTCTACCCTCGCTGTCGAAGGATTCATTTAAACCGTATTTCACGGAAATCGGCATTTCCTTGCTGAACAAAGCAACTCCGCAATACCCTGGCTTCTTACCTGTCGACGTACATTTATCAGTTACGCGATTCGCATACGCGGCGCGAGCTTTTCTTCAATGTATCTTACTGTCGAGAAAGTAGTGATGGTATCCCGGCAATTTGACCTCGTCTGGCAGCTTGTCTTTGTCGCACTTGGTCTCTTGCAAAGCGACTATGTCTGCGTCTTCTTTGATAACGTAGTCGAGTCCTTTTTTCTGATTAAACATAAAGACGGAATTGTTTTAGGTTCAATACGTTGATTAACAAACTGTACTTTGACAGCGAAGCGTACCTTGACGACAGCTCGGATCCCAGAGACATTCCAGGTGCAGATCTTGAGATTATACTTCTTTCCTTCCTCGTTTGACTTTATACATCCAAAATCTATCTCGTTCAAGTTGGTGTCCGTCTTATTTTGCATCTGCTTGGGCTCGTCCTTCGACTTCTTCGCGGTGGACGAGTCGGCGCTCTTCAATCCCTTCGAATCGGCCCTCATCTTCTTCGGAGCCGGTTCATCGTTCGTATCAATTACACGCTTTTTATTCGAAGCTCCATTTTCGTCTAATTTCTCTGTTTTCTTACCAGGTTTAGCTTTGGGAGAGTCAACCTAATTTCAGGGAAAAATTGATGTACAGCAAGCTCTGAATACAAGCGACACAGCTGTGCAATGGACAATTAAATACAAAACTCTTTGCAGACCGAGGGGTAAACCGCTAGACCAATTCGTGTACACTAATGCCCGCTGGGCATTACTTTGGGCCTGAGCAGAATGGCTGTCTTGTATTCTAAGTCATAAGACAGTTATTGTGCGTTACTTTAAAACAAAGATTTAAAACATTGTCTTAAAGAGTACAAGGCAGCCATTCTGCTCAGGTCCTTGCCTCGAGACAAAGACTTGAAACATAAAATATTGTTTTAAGACGTAAGACAGTTATTGTGCGCTACTTCAAGACAAAGGCTTAAAACATAAAGCATTGTAATGGAAAATTTCATCAGATCGCCAGTGAATTATTCCCGCACGCATTTCCCATACCTTTGCTCTCGCGGCTCGCTTTCGTGGCATGTTGAGGCCTCGCTTCTCTCCAAGAAAGAGTACTGAGGAAAATACACAACAGTATTAACGTTCAACGGCTCGTGTCAAACGTCTCTAAACAATCCCCCGGCCCGATAAAATCAATATTGCAAGTGGAACGCGGCGACGCGTGTGTTTATCGCTCATCTACACCAATGTTAAATAACGTCAGTGCGCGAGTCGCCTGTACGAGACCGGTGGCTCGACTTCCGGGGTTTTCCGGGATTAGCGAACGCGGGATTGTTACTGCGTCGCATAAAGAGATTTCATTATCTGCCCTCGATCGATAGATACATAGCCTAGTCTGGCCGGCGTCTCGCCGGGCGTCCAGGCGACTCTCCCACTGATCCTGAGGTTCCACGAACCCTCCGGATCGGAGGGACGATCGCGGGACGATGCTCCCTTAATTTTACGACACCGCTTTTTTACAGACCTGACAAGCAATTCCCGTACGTGTGACCGGAAGGGACGCGACGACGCGGCTCAGCCTGCACAACTTCAAATTTAGTGCCATCCAGCACCACGCGGCGTGCCAGGAGTGCCAGGAGAGTGCCAGGGGGGCTCCGAACTCCCCTCTTGGAGAACAATTCTCGGCGCCACTGTTGCCGGCGGAAGAAAAAGAGACGATCACGCGTGGATATAACGGATCTTGTGCGTGCAAGCGGTATTGGAAAAAAAAAGTTGCGAACACACAGCACTGTGAAATGCAAAACGATGTCACTCTCTGACGCGTGTATCTTTTTGTTTCTCTTCGCGTTCGGTACTTTTTGTTCCTTTCTGTCGTTCGATATTTAACAAAATAATTTGCCCGCAAGACGCTAGAAACAGAACTCCGCGAATATTTCTCTTCGCGTTTGGTACCTCGTTATACACGTCGCTCAATATTAACGATTTACCAGACGAAGTAACCATTTAATTTTTATCTTAGTTTTAAGTTTAACTTGCGCTGATGAAAGCACTGCGTGCCGAAACGCGTCCGCGAATCTATACTTCAACTGTAACAGCCTGAAGTTTAAAATATATATTGCTTTGTTAACTTTCGTGCTCGTCAAGATCGGCCTCCTTTATTCGCTTGTTAATTATTTAACAAAATAATTATAATTTGTCTGTAAGACCCTATAGACTCTGCGGATATCGTACGAATCGATTTCCCCTCGCAATCTCATCTAACAATAAGATAAATCAGTTATTGAAGGTAGCGCTTAATTGCGGAGTTGGGCAAATGATCCAACGACGCAAGAGTGCGAATTTTCTTTCAAATATAACAGCATGCATTTTACAGGAGATTCACAGGGATGTTATGGGGGGATGTTATTGTCGCGAGTTGCCTTTCCGAGAGAAGTCCGAATAATTATTCTCAGAATTATTAGCGCGGCGACAGTAACGATTATCCGGCGCGTTAATTTGTCATAGCGAATTCGGTCGCTTGCACCAATATACACTGAGCGCGCACTAAAGCTTGTTTATAGTCAATTCTTATATTTAAAGATCATTTTAAATGTCTCTTGAAGTACTTTTTAGCCAGAAAAATGATCTACCATCCGTATGGATCTTTTTTTGGGGGCTAAATAGCTTTTGACCGTACATTTAAGATGATCTTCCCAAGTAGAACAAGTTAATCACGAAAACGCCAATGTGACATTAAAATGATGAATTTTAAGTCATAAAATGATCGACATCAAGATTTACTTTGCAATGACTGATTTATGACATGCTGTTTTATGATATTCGTGATGTGTATAATAATATATTATTACAGATTACATGATTAATCATATATTACTTCAATTTATTTTTAATGTGTAATATTTAATTAACTTTGCTTTGTAAAACAAGATTATTTTTACAGCATTTTGATGTCTTAACGATGTCACAAATAGGTGCTCTCGGTGGGCTATTTTGACGTCACCACGATGCATAAAAAAAATGATCAAAAAATGATGTCATCTTGACGTTTTCATGACTAATATGTTCTGCTTGGGTTAAAAATAAAAATTAACTATGAAAGAAGCCTTAGTGTGCACACAATGCTCACTATCCGCTAATACAGCTACGAAATGTACTCGTCTCGTTGGCGACAATAATTATTCGCGTAAGGCAAGGGAGAGCCGTTGCCAATTGATCTACAGATTATGACATACGTTAGAAGAGACGACGTACACAGTAAGAATCGATCGGCCCGTACATTGGACACAGATAACCGGGCATGCTCGAAGTAAATTAAATTCCGCTTCGGTAACGCCCGTGACTTTGAGTGCACGAAGCAATCGCGCGAGAATACCTCCCGGGCCTGGAGCTGCAATATATTTTCAGCAATGATTTATTGTAAATCAAGTATATATAAAATAAACTTATAAAGATTGTGTACACTTAAATTACATGCGAAATCGCGCCGTCGTCTCAGAAACTCTTCGCTAATCACTCATGACGACGACGGTCTTCGGTATCCTCGAAGAGGAACTTTGGCGTTGCGTCGCAAGGGCAATCGCAAACCGACGAAACCGCGAAACAAAATAGAATACGTGGGATACGTAAAACGTTCGCTCAAAGGGGAATGTAACTCAACGCGAATCAAACGTCCTGGGTTCCTCGACATCGCCCTCTGATGTCGCACCGATTGGCGACACCGAGGAAACCGTAAAGATAAACAAGATAACTTACAATGGCATTGTAAAATCGAACACGGTACAAACGTTTCTGGAGTGGCCGAGACTTCAGAGGCTCCTGATGTATTTACTGTAATTACATTATAACGAGTTACGAGTGAAATATACACAGTTAAGTCTAAAATATAAATCAATATGTTACAAATCGCGCAGTCGAATCTCTATCGTCTCTAGTCGCCGTTAAGATTCACGTGACTGTGACCGAGCGTTTTCGATCCTTCACGCTCGTCCGCTCCCCGGGCTAGGGCCGTTTCTTTCCCGGGCAAGATCTCACGAATCGCGGAATGCGCTCGTATAATCGCTGTGAAACAAAGCACTTGTACAGGCACGTTCAGTGTAAGTACTAATATCAATAGCCTCGCGTAACAAACACTTCAACGTTGTACGTCCGCAGTTATGCAATAGAAAAGTCCTCAAGGCCAATTAACAGCAGGAAATCTCCACACTGCGCGGGTTGTATATATATGTATATAGACGCGCACATTTCACTCTAACGTATAAACAGAACTCTCTCTCTCTCTCACATACACACACGCACACACACACACACACACACACACACACACACACACACACACACACACACACACACACACACGTAATACGAGGCACATGCTGTGATATAATTTCGATCTGTTCACTTCCTCCAGCGCGATCCAAACGATCTTCATTTCTCGGGCTCGTCAGGATGATCCCTCTTGATATGACAGGAAAACTTGAACTGCGTCGTGAAGTGTTTCTTGCAGTAAGGGCACTGATATGGCATCTTAGGGTGTGCGGATCTCAGATGCGCCACGGCCAGCTCCCTCGACACAAACGGCGACGAGCACACGCCGCACCGAAACCTAAAATTAAGCAGGCGCGTCCCGCACAGAGTTAGACTTTTCACAGTAAAACGCGAGCGGCTCTTCGAAGAGGCTTGAAACGTCTCTTTACCCGCTGGTGGTATTAATGAGAGTCCGCTTGAGAGGCAGCGGCGGCGCGCTCTGCTCGTCAATTTCAACCTTTGGCTCGATAGGAGACACGTACTCCAGCAGCGTCTCCGGACGTAATTTTGGCATCGGCTCGTCGTCCGCCTCGACTTTGACCTCGTGCGTCTGCGCCTAGAACACAGTGAACGATGAGACACGTTATCGCGGTTCAAGTCGCCCGGCGTGTCACTCACGTTACGTACCGTACTGCCGCGCATGTACTCCGCGTGCATTTTCATGTGAGCATTTCGCGACTGCGAGCTCGCGAAAATCGCGTCGCACTTGGAGCACTTGTACGACTTGTCGCCGACGACGTGGGACGACGACTTCTGCCGCGATTTCGCTGCGACTTTCTTTTCCAGCGGCGCCCCGCCTGTGCATTCGTGGGCGAGCAGCGATACTTCTTTGAAAAAGATTTTATTACACTTGTCGCAGTGATAGGTCTTTCTCACTATGTGGATCTTTTGATGCGCCTTATCCATGAATGATTTGTTGAAAACGGCGGGTGTGTACGGGAGTGAGGCGTTATCGAGCGTTAGACGTTTATGACAAGCCTGCCGATCAAGAGGCAGCGCGTGTTTAAAAAATGCCACGACAATGAACAGTAAATACGTTTAAACAGCCATGCCGGGAGTCTTACCTCGTGCTTCGACAGCTGCGACTGTTCCCTAAATGTTTTTTTGCATATTTGACACACGTAACTTTTGTGGGTATAATTATCCGAGTGCGTCTGCAGGTGCGTCAACATCGTCGTGTGGTCGCTGAACCATTGTAAGCAGATGCCGCACCTCGCCACGTTTTTATGTCCGCCGGTAGTGCGTTTCGTCGGGGACTCGTCGTCTACCGGCGCGTCGCTCTTCTCCATTACCTGCGGATAAAAGAAACGGCCGTGTAAACTTAGCCGCGCGCCCGTAGCGATCTCTGTGAGGCGAGAAGCCCAGAAATAAATATAAACAAGTCCAAGGTGAAGGGATTCACGAGCACAAACTGTGGGCATCGTGTGGCAACGCGAGCCAAGCGAATACGATAATCCACAATCGACGGGACGAACCTCGGAATAAGGTCTCTTGGTGCCGCGAGTCTTAGCTTCCCTCGCCTCTCTCGCCTCCCTCTCGGCGTTCAAGGCCTCCTCTTGCTCGACCGCCGACAGGGCCGGTGACATCATCGTTTGTTCATTATGCTCGGTTATTCTGTGCCCGGCGAGGCGTATGAGAAGCCCGAACGATCGGCCGCAAATGTTGCACTTGAACTTCTTCGGCTCGTGAGTGCGCATGTGATTCGACAACGCGCTCTGCTGGGTACAAATCTGCAATACGAAAATGTCGTAGAGAGGCGCACGCAGGACTGCCGTGTGAAAATGCAACCGCGACCCCGTACCTTGCCGCAAGTGGGACACATGAGGGATCGAACGTTTTCGTAATATTGCTCGTCTCGTTTAATCTCCCTCGGTCGCTCCGCTATTTTCGCCACCGTGGGTTCGGAGGACGGCAACTTCGGTGACACTATCCACCTCGTTTGGTGCAGCTGAACGTGGCCTTGATAAGACTCGACTGTACGGAAGAATCTAGAGGCACAAGCACGTGTTTAAAATATCGAGAGAGAAAGAGAGAGAGAGAGAGAGAGAGAGAGAGCGAGAAGCATCGCGCGAACGTACCTATTGCACAACGAACACCAGGTGTTGCTCCCGATCTTGGCCGACTCGGCCAGATGATCGCGCAGCCTGTGCTGCTTCAGCATCTCCCAGCTGACGAACTGCCGCTCGCACTGGTCGCAGTCGTTCAAGTTCTCTATCAAGTCCAGGTCGATCTTCAGGTGGTTCTTGGCCTCGTGCTTCGCCAGGAACTCGACCGAGTCGAAGGACGCGGAGCACTTTCTGCAGGTGTAGACGCGCGGGCAGTGCAGCTGCATGTGCTTCATCAGACTGTCCTTCGTTCTGGAAATTGCCAATTGTCGTTTTCGCGAGCTAGTCGACGACGGTCGGCAAGAGACTACTCACTTGTAGTAACTGTTGCAGGGCGCGCACCACCACTCGGAGGTCAACCGCGTCCTCGGCTGCAGCTGCTGGTGATTGTTCATCGTCAGACTGCCGGTCAGCACCTGCTCGAGAATACTCGTTCGTTTCTCCTCCCTCTTGGCCTGATAGTCCAGTTTGGGAGCTCGCGCTCCCTCCGCGTCGGCCACGAGCACCGACTCGGCCTTGGTTTGCGCGTCCACGCCGAACGGCTCCGGCAGCCTGCGCTTCCTGCCCGACGGCTCGCAGACGGCGGTCTCGGCGCTCAAAATCGGGTCCGCGTTCATCTCCTCGATCTCCACCTCGCAGGGCAGCTCGGGCAGGGTGTCCAGGCAGGCGGCCTGGAGATGCTCCTGGCCGGCCTGGCCGATCGGCATCGCCGAGTCGTCGAAGGGCAGGGCGGCCGACAGGGGGACCAACGGCGGCGGAGCTCTGGACTTCTCCCTGCAGAGTTGCACCTGGCGTTTGAAAACAGCAAGCGGTTAAAGCGGGGAATCCGCGGTTACGCTTACGATAACGTGACCCCCGGGGTCGGCCCGTTGGACAAACCTGGCACGGGTCCGGCGAGTTTCTCATCGAGTCGAGGAAGATCTGGGTGGACTCGGTTTGCTTGCACGTGAGCAGCACGGCGTGCATGCTCTTGTAGACGCTCAGGCAGAACTCCCGGAACTCGTACGCGTCGTCCAGCCGGGCGGCGCAGAACTGGCAGATCTGCTTCGGCAGCGGATCGCTCTCGTAGACGAGCACGGGCAGGCAGGCACGCAGCTTCTGCGCCACCCTGCGCTGCTGGCCCTCGTCGCCGAAGATTGGCAGCATCTCGTTCCTCACCTGCGAGCACAGTCGGCAGACCATGTCCCACTTGCCGTCGGCGGCGGCCATCGTGTAGAGACCCGCGTTCATGCTCGCCCGTCGGCCGAGGATTCCGCGTGCGCGACCCACGAATCTAGGTTAGCCGACGAACCGCGCCGTGCGCGACGCTGTCGCGACGCGGCCGGGGCGCGGGCATGCCCTGACCCGGAGACACCGAGCGGCCGACTTGTCTCGCTTTCACCTGCTTCTTCCGCGCGCGCGCCCGCTCGCCCGCACGTCTCTCGCCTTCGCCTCGCGAGGTGCTGACGGTGCTCCGTGAACCGGTTCCACGCGCGTGGCACGCGCACGCACGCACGCACGCTCGCCGTTCACCGACGACGTCCCGCGGACATCGCGCCGCGGAGGACGGGGTAGAGGCCGAGTGCTCCGCGTCGTCGTGGCCCTCGCGAGGCTATCTTCGCTTCGCGTCAGGGCTCGCCACGCGCCACGCGGACGCCACGCTCCTTCCTCCCAGTCCTCCTACTCTCTCCCTCTTTCTCCCTCTTCTCTGGACGTCCGCTACGAATCGCAGCCGCGGAGCGGGCGAGCGGGACGACTCTTCGGGGTCTCCCGACTCTCCTCGAGCGACCGGCCGTTTTGGGAACGGTGACGTCAACGGCGACGCTCGAGACGCGTGTCTCCGCGAAGCCAGCGACCTAGGATATGACCTTCACCCGATTGTCCTCCCCCCCGGCGAAACGACTTCCCCGACTACTCCCGTTCGCCTGCACCGACTGCTCGCTTCTCCTCGTCAGATCGGTCGACCGAGGCTTCGCTGCCGTTTCGTCATTGGAATTTCCCCGGCGTGCGAGATCCCGCACCTTACCGGGAGATCCCGTCGACCCCGGTGCTGTCACTCAAGATGGCCGACGCGGTTGTCCAAGACCCCTCGGCCCCGTTCAGCTTCTTCGCTCGGGGGAAACTGAACGTCTTGGGGGTCTCTCGGCCTCGTGGCTTCATTCAGTTACTTGGCGCGGAAGAAATTGAACATCTCGGGGGAGCTTCGTAGCTTCGTTCAACTTCTTCGCTCGGTCCCGCGAGAATTTAGGCTTGCTTTCTATTGCCGCGCTGGTCAACTGGTGCGGTAAGCCAGAGTGAAAAATTACGTTTGTCTCACTCCAGTTTATTCCACGATGGTTGACTAGCGCGGCAATAGAAAACGAGCCTCTTGAAAGCATTGCCGAGAGTCGGAGCTGTGACTTGCGGGGCACGAGAAAGAAAAAACACTTTGTGTTGTCTTATACCGTTAGCTCAGGCAGCTGATGGCAGAGAACGACCCGTAAACGCTTAAAGGTCTTTACCTGAGCGGAAAGATTGTATGTGTTTACGATTTCGTAGTAAGACGCAAGCCCCTAGTAGCACAGCGTATTGGCTGAACATTGGCCAAGTATTGGCCCAATGTTGGTTGTATTAGAAATTTTGGCCACGGATAAATGTAAATATTGCCCGATAATAATTCTATAATATTAGATTTGTATTGCAAGTGCATTGGCCAGTATTTAACAACGCGATAAGAATATTGGTCCAACATTGATACAATGGCCGTCTTGGATTTATCTAAAGATGCTGTACGGAACATTTCATTGGCTACGGAGTATCTAAAGATGATCTTAAGTCTTGAATATAGGATCGGACTATGAATACCGGCCAATATTAGACCAATGTTGCTAAATAGATTTACATTACTAGAATACTAGATTTACATTATTTCTCAATATTGCACTAATAGGAGTCGGTGTTGTAGACGTAAGACAAGGCAGAGAGAAACTAAGACAGACTTGGGGCCTGAGCAGAAAAATTGTCGCAAGTGTTTACGATTTCGTAATAAGACGCAAGTTGATGGGCAGAAAGATCTGCTCGGACCCTTAAGCGTTTACGGATAGTCTTCTGCCGTCAGCCTTGGAATAGCTTCTGCCTCTAATCAGACTCACCGCACCGTTGATTCACCGAGCCTTTTCTTTTCAAGTGTAATCTTTATTTCTCTCAACGTAACGTAACAGTATTAATGGTAAAAGCGGGTGCACTGCTTAAAATCGCAGTGATTTACAGTATCTGTCGAATATATTTGTTACATAAAAACTGACACAACTTCGACGAAGGTACATAATACTCTCCGACATGTTTCGCCATCCGTTAGTTCGCGAGCTAGGAAAATATCTTCATAGCTGTACCGTCCCGACACTCGCGAACCGTAGAGATGTTGCATAAAAAAAAAAGATCAATTTGTAGAAAACTTTAAAGAATAAACACTACGGAAATAGCATCACCGACGTTTTGTATATAACTGACGTGTATAATATATAATATATAAATATACATAACTAGATTATAAACATTTTCTTTTATGTTCAATAAACAACAGATCCTTGCACAAGCCCTTATCAAAGCAGTCGGAACGAATTTATTCGTGTTACCAGCGGTTTAGCGCCAAGTAGCGATACTGCCTTACACGTAATTGTCCTTTCGGAAATTAATTATGATCTCGGAGTAATGGCAACGCAAAACAGGACGAAATTAACTCGTTTATCGAGCTAGGGTGTCTAAATAGTTTGACGCTACGTATTGTACATACATGTGGCTTGCAGACTCGCACGCCTTCAAAACGCTGTATATAAAAAAATAAATCCGCCGTGTAAGCTGTCGACTTTCTTCTTTTATATTAAATACATACAAGAGCCGCAGGATATATAAACTTATAGTATAAATTTATAATATTGATATATTATTATATACAGGGTTGGGAAAGTACCCTTTTAAATGTAACTAGTTACAGTTACAAGTTACCAGTTCTGATAAGTAACGTAAGGGGTTTAGCATTTCTGCTCGAGTGTACAAGAGAAACTTTAATCAACTATTGGTTGTTTTAGTTACGCTTTACGCAGATTACGCTGCGTGTGACGGCGCCCTAAGATCTGAAAGGGAGTAGGAAATAAAAGTGATTTATTTCCTTATTCCTACTCCTACTTCAGGCTTACTGCATGCATTGTAGACGACGCATCTACAATAGAAATTTCAACCCCGAGCCTTAAGAAATTGACTAATCACAGTTGCGTATTCTACTCCTACTTGACCGTGGTTGGTCAATTTCTTAAGGCTTAGGGCTTAAATCATCTATTGTAGACTGGGACTTACAGTTACCCAAAAAACAACGAATCGTTACTTTGCAGTGACTTTCTTGAAATGAGAATAAAAATATCAAATCTACACTTGAATTGCAAGGCCTGATGCGATCTGTGGAGGTTTAAAAAAAGTAACTGTTAAATTAGTTACTAATTATCGAAAAAATGTAGCCGAGTTAAGTTACAGTTACAGATGGAGAGCAAGTAACGAAGTTAAGTTCGAGTTACCAAAGAAAAGTAACTGTAACTCCGTTACAAGTAACGAGTCAAGGCTGGTTTATGCAAGGCCGTAACTGTTAACTTATGCCGGAATCGGTAAAAATTGTACTATCACCTTTAAAAGTGACGAGAATAGTCGACTGTAATTGGTTAATTTTTACCGATTCCGACATAAGTTAACGGTTACAGCCCTGCATAAACCAGTCTTTACTTCCCAACCCTGACATAATATATATATGTCTATGGGCCAGTTGTTTCAACCTCTTAATAAGTTAACTGGTAATTAAATCACAAGTATGCCTTTGTGTTTTCTTCAAATTAGACAAAGATAAATGTATGATTTGACTATTCGTTAGGTTACCAAGTGGTTGGAAAAACCGGCCCTGCGTCTGTATAATATACGGTATAAATTTACAGTATAAATTTTATATATCGCTAAGCACTTTATTGACACGATCGTGTATTATTGACAAAGAATATCTACCAAAGTGATTCTGTCATCTCATTGGTTCGTGGATTTTTGTGGCCGAAATATTGGAAGAAGAAAGACCTTCGAGTTAAAAGAATTACTTTAGTCGAAGAAAAGGTGCCCTTTTATTTTAACATGCAAGTTCATTTGCAAAAGGTAGTAGCAATGTGCGTCCTAACGGACGCCTGGTACAACTTTAAAACTTTTATTGAGCAAAGTAGACAACGTATATTTTTTCGTTACATACCCCAAATATTATCTTCGAGTTTTTACTTACTTCCTAATTGTGTGCAGAAGCTTGCACGGGCGTGCCCCGTGCGGATTAAAGTAGATATTCTTGGTATTTTCTTTCGTATGTTAAACTAATTTCTCATAAAAATATAACGTCTTATTTCAAGCACGTGTTATTTATACGGCGTGTAAAGATTATACTGCATTATGTAATATCGATTTATCGGTTCACATAGCAAAGTCCGTTTGTTAAAATAAAGAATCGTTCGGCAATAACGATAACTGTATGTTAGACAACTAAGGTGGAAGTTCAGTCTAGTCCTCGCGGTGTGCCATTCCGATCGGGTAGTCCGAAGAGTACAAAAGCGAGCGGGTTGCTTCGATAGCGCGTACATAATCGAAAACATAACTGGTCCGTCCTACCGTGTCGTTATTCCGCCCGCTCGGAGTCTCACTGCGAAACCTCATGAACTTCCACGTCCTACAATCAACATCCGCACATTTCGTATCGCAAGCGAGGCATTAATTGAATCTTTTATCTCCCCGTTTATCCGTCTTTCCATTGCCCGCACTTCAGCGTGGAGTTTGCTATTCGGATTTGTGGAGAAACCTCCTGGCGGCCTGTCACTTAAATTGAACGACAATATGCGAAGTTAAAGAAAGAGAAATGAAACTATCGGCGGGTGTGTGTATGTCGGAAAATAGTGTGGGAAGACCTTGTTCCGTATAAATATTATGTTACACTGTACACGCTCTATACAATCTTACAACAGCAGGCCAACGAGCGAGTTTAGCTTGCCGTATTGTACACGCTGATAACTATTCACAACCGAATGAGGAGACAAGTCGAAAGCTTAATAAAGTGAAAACCAGTAACGGAAAATGTTCATTTTATGCGCCCCAGATTTATTCCCGACTTTTAAATATGAAAGAAATCTCCCCGCTTCGTTCACGATCGATTTGTCCACGAAGGAATTAATAGCTCTCGACATATCAATCCTTTCTTCTATCTCGTACGACTAAAATTCGTTTCTCGTTTGTCCTCAGGTTTATCGTACTTTTCATTGATGCAGAGTAAATTCTTTAACGCCTCGAGACATTTGATGGCAGAGAACAGAAGCGGTTTTCTGGATGCCTGTATTCTAATTGTGTCACATTTATACAATGTATTATTTACGTATAGACTTAAGTGCGGCGAATTTTCTTGATACCGTGTGTATATATATTTTTTATAAATATTTATATCAAAGGATAAAGCGTCTCAACGACATATTTCTTCCCGATTGACGAACGAATATTATTTAAACAGCTTTACCATATCATCCTTACTATCTCGCTGGCACGGCAGGCATTTTCTCGAGGAAGTCCTGCTCGATTACAGTCTCTAGTTGCGTGTTATTTATCGGCACGTAAGTGTCGCATGTGGCGCGGCTAAGGCTCGAGAAGAAATGATGCAGATCTTGCAAAGAGCGAACGTTATTCGACGTTAGTAGAAGCTCGCCCGGATTCCTTTTGGGCGGCGGACCTTCGGGTTTGAACTGCAAAAGAGAATCGGTACAAGTTTTAGAGAGAGAAAAAACACACAAAAATAAGGAAGAAGATATCCCTGTTTAATATACACACAATAAAGGAGCAACGCGAAACAATACGTAGAGAAACGGAAAATTATATTTGTGGTGCCAAATGTTGCGCAACATCGCTCGACTCGAGCGCGCGCATTGGCTTTGTTGCAAAAATGAATCTATATACATATACACGAGAGATCTCACGAATACTAAAATAAAATAAGTATTTCAGTATTGCTGACAGCAGTTCGTACACCAAGCTCCTGTGATTTTTATTCTCGTAACACATATGTGCTAAACATAGCAGACGTGAGATCTGAAAAATTGTTATCTAATAAACGTTGTTATACTTCTCGAAAAAAAAGTATAATTAAAATCTACTGGCAGTAACGGATCGAGTGAAATTTTTTCGTAACGTAGCAGCAGAAACGTCTTTAAGTGGAGCCGATAAGAGCAGGGTCACGGTGATAATTGAGACTATTCGTACGGTTTAATTCTAACAGAGTGCATCGAGTTTGCCGACAGACCGTGCAGAAGCGATCACAGCGATGGCCTGGCTGAAAATCTTATCGTGTTACATTCTGTGCACCGCAATAGTTGTCACTGCACGTGAGTAGTAAAGCAACATCATCTATTTGAAAGATACAATTTATTCGTATTTCTTTCCTATTCCTTAATTTTTTCCTAAAGAAGAACACGAGTCTCCTCTAAAGTGGAGACCTTTCTGTCAATTCTCTTGTTGATCTTGCAAATGTTATCTGTGCACTTTCTGATTGTTTTTAATTTAAAAGTTGTGCTGTGCTCCGATAACTTTGTAAAAGAAAAATCATCATGATGATGATGAAAAAATATGAGATTGAAAAAAATCAGTGAGAAAATTCTTTTTTATCTATAAATATAATCGTGAAACATCTATGGACGTGAATGTTCATCTTTTTTTTTGGTTTATAGTGATTCTAAATGCTTTAAATGGTTTTAATGTGAGTTGATTCGTGCCAATTATTGGTAAAGTGAATGTTAATGAAGAGATGGCTGCGATAGGCCTTTCTTATCAAATTAATTTAATTAGTTCAATTTCCTGCTAATAAAAAAAATTATTTAAATTTTGGCTCGGAGTTCTTTAAAACGAGTCTCTTAAACATTAGACAAGTAGAAACTTGTAAGCAAAAAGCGACTCACGAAACATTCATGTAACGATCTAGTCCAACTTCTTTACCTAAGATTTAACTTAAGAAAAAAAAACAATTTTATTTGTACTTTTAATGTTGCGACTTAATTATTGCATTTATCGCAGAGTACACGAGCGATTCCGAGTACAACGATTTTGATTTCTATGAAGATTTGTCAACGGACCGCTCGAGAAGTTTTAAGAAAGAATACAGCGTCACGCAGGATGATTTTTACGTCGCGAACGATTTCGACGACACAGAAAATCAAGACGGCGCGTATCCTGGCTCGAACTTGGCTGCTTTCGGACACAACGTCGACTCTCTTAAGAAGAGTCCCTTCGACAAGCAGTTTGATTGGTACAAATTGTCCGAGAGAGTTTACAGATACACCAAGCACCGAATTCCCGGGTACGACTACGACGAGTTCGATTACGTGCGTTACAGGAATGTTCAGAAGTGCGACGACAGATCGATCTGGACGCATTGTCTCTGCCAATTCACGTGCTCGAGGCCGGACATAGTGGACTGTTACACGCCGTGCAGAAGCGGATGCGAGTGCAAGGAGGAGTACGTTTTTGACGAGAGAACGCAGAGATGCTTGTTACCCGAGGAATGCTCGACGGAAGACTACAATTACTAACAATAGGCTTTATATCGACGTATATTTGCGCTCTCAACATACATTGAGTCACTCTTCCTCGCAATCGCGGCAAGTAAAATCGACTGTTGCGACAGCCGACAATTTCCCGAAAGCGTCGGTCGTGTTAGCTCACCTTACTGTCCATCAATTTCGCTATTCTCGTGATGTGCGGCACAAAATCGGAGGATAAATTATTGTTGTCCATGCAGCTTGCCGCTGCGTCTCCGACGAACGCCCACTTATACCTGTAAAACAAGCGGGACATTACACGGATTATCTCGCAATGAAATACGCGCCGCTTCATAATCTCTTTCTTTTTTGTCGCTTACATCTGAAACTGCGGTAATCTGTGCGCGGGCAGCAGCAACGCGAGATCCAGCAGCTTGGCGGCAGCCAGCTGCAGTTGCAACCAGTGAGGATGCCCGTGTGCCTGAAGCCCGTTGCTGGCGTTGACGGCCCACGACGAGTCCAGAGCCGACAAGAGTTTGATGTGCGAGCTGTACAAAGAACCGTGCAAATGTTGCGTTATTCAGATCGCCGGCGGAATGCACAAGGTGCACGAGTTCAACTGCAGTTGATTCCGAGGTATAAGTAATGCGCAATTTTCCCGCAGAGCTCGGTCAACAAGATACAAGATTGTTATTAGTGGATACCCTTTGACATTCGACACGCTCGACACAGTGGTGTAAAGTCTTTCCTGCGCTCCCGGCTATTCTTTTTGAATATTCGTATCTAAAGCTAAGGTACCTGCTTATCGCAGCAAGTACTTTTGTGGTTCTTTGACTATTTATCTGTTTTCGAAGTACCTTTTTATACTTGAAACCAGGAGTTTGTGCAATTTAATAAGAGTGATTTTAATATAATATGAAAATAATTTTACGTGCGTCGTGACTTTATTCGAAATATTGTATTTCTAGGCGCTGTAACTAAAGTATTTTTTACATCACTGTACTCGAGTGCCCTTACAACATTAACAGTATGCATACGCGTGCGGTATGTATGTTGAAATGGACCATCGAGTTACCTGCTATGACGACTGCCGTCCCAACACCATTCAAGTTACGGAGGCACCACAAAATCCCATCAAATCGCGAAGATACCGAAACAGAGCCAAAAAAACAGTACGACATTAGATAGTGTATCCATGTTAGTAGGACGGACATACACAAATATTCTGCTGTTTAACATTCTCGATCTTTACGCGCATACAAGATCCTAAGAAGTAAATCGCACACTTTTGTCTCGCGTTTCTATTCTACGTCATTACAAGATTGCGTCGTTTACATTTCGAGTATTTTAAAAATATAATCGATTGATAAAATATAATATATCTGCACACAAAAATATTGGCATTCTTTCAAATGTTCACGAGTCTCGGAGATCAGACGTAACAGTCTTGAAAGGAGATTAACAGACCGAGAGGTGCCTCTCGACCCCTCAAACGAAATAAATAACCGCGTATTGTTGTAAGTAAACGTATACCATGCACATACGAAGCAGCAGCGTCCCATAAGCCGAGTTTCCTCAATAAGCACACGAATCGGAAGAATATTTGCGTACCTGAACTCTTCACTGTCCGTACTCAATTCCTGCTCGATGTAGAGGAATACTTGAACGAGCTCGCTAACTATGACCGGCCACAAGGATGTCGCGTGTTGTGGCGACATTCTCAACAGCAGTACGCGAAAACAGAGAAACACTTGCGCCTGAATAGACGGGATCACTTGGGGTAGGCGTAAACTGTCTGCTAAGCGCTCTGAAAGCAAAATGATCAGTACACATCTGTATGCGTGTAAAAGCACTACGCGCTACGCAATAGTCAATATATTTCCTAAAATGCTTCTACGAGTGCTCACCCTGTATCTCCGGCATATATTTGTGATACTGATCCATTTCGCTGCAGAGAATTACAAACGCCAGGCGTTTCAAGAGCTGCGCTTTCTGCTCGTACTCCTGCTCTTTCGAAGAAAATATACTGATTCCGCTGCCTTGAGCCATGGAGACGCGATCTATTTAACGGGATTAGGAATGTGTTACTTCCTGTGATTATGATAGACGCACGTATCGCGCACGGAGAGAAAGTTTCTCTTAACATTTGTCCTAAAAATGTAATCGTGAGACAACATGGCACTTGGAAGAATTTTATGAGTTTTCTGAAATTGTACCATACATTTTGCTAGTAAAATGTAAAATTCCTCAAAATACCATGTTGTCCCACGATTACATGATTTTCAGGGTAAATTTTAAAAGAAAATTCTCTCCCCGTGCATAGGTGTAGTAAAATATGCGTTACTCATTAAATCTCTGAAGGTAGTATTGTCGTGCGTCATCAAATTGTCTATTATGGTTCTCCAATACGGCAGGCAGGCCGGTATCATTTGGAAGAAGGCCGAGTCGAGTAACAAATCTAACACGTCCTTGCGCCAAGCCTTTCTCGTGTACTGATATCCCGATAAGGAAGCCAATAGTTGAGAGCAAGCGGTGAACGAGGCGATATTTTTTATCCTGAAAGTAAGATAAAGCAGGCAAGGTTTAAACGCTGTTCTGTCTCACTGTCCGAGCCTCAAAGAAATAAACTTTGAAGAGCCATTTCCGAAACTTACGTGTGATTCTTTAGGTAAGGCGTAACGTTGTACATGAGATTTGTCAGGAGCGTTACCACGCGCTCCTTCTCTTGCGAGCCGTAACTAACGTCCAGCAATGGCGCGAGTATCTCCGCTAATACCGCTTGCGCTTGAACGCTGTATGCCGCGTTAGGCGGGGTTCCGGGTGTTACTGCAACGCAAAGCTTTCAATGATAACCACGAATATACCGCGGGAGGAGTGTAGAGCTATTTGCAACTGCTAGACTGCACAAGGGAAACGAAAGATAAAGCGCGAATCAAAATCAGAAAATGCCGTTACGTTAAAAATTCTTCGAATATGCCTACAAAATAAATTGCACGTTACGCACCAGCACCATTCTTTCCCTCTTTACCTTCCGAGGAGCCTTCCACCACCTCAAAGACGTCCTCTCGGACGGCCAAGTTTCTTCTCAGCCATGTGGTTTGCTCTAAACAGGCACCGGCTATTTGCGAACACGATTCGATCAACTGAAATGTTTTTTATTAAGAACGTCCAGCAGCCGTGTTACCAATTATTCGATAAATGAATCACGCAAGATAATAACCTTCGCAGACACGTCTTGCAAGTCCTTGATATCTTTCTTCTCTTGCATAGGTGGGCACTTTTGTACATACTCGTTCAGTATAGCCAACAAGAGAAATTGGGCAGGTGCCGTTAGCGATAGACCGTCCTTCAATAAACTGAGCAACGACGCCCAGGACTCGATGAGCGACTGCGACGTGTTACTCTGCATGTAGACATAAAGTAATTCTAGCACCGAGACTTCCAATGAGAAATCTTGCTTGATTCCGTGTATCGGCGGTGGCGTTTTCACTACTTGGTGCACGGTGTGCACCAACGTGTCAATGGGCATAACTCGAATCGCACTGACAAGGTGGACCATTACTTGCTGGTTAGGGCAGGCTTCTGGAAGTATCTGCACCGAAATAAATTACCTGACATTCTTTCCAAAACTAATGATAACACTAGTTATTTTTCATTATGCCATCTTTTTTTTTCAATACACAACGTCAGGTACCTTTTTTGACGCAGCGGATGTCTGGCGCCTCTCGTGCCAGGCAACCGCAACCGCAGCCAAGAAGTTGGCTCCGTGGTGAAAAGAGATTGGAGACAGTAGTTCCAGTAATTGATATTTAACTATTCTTGGACTACCCACCACGCAACTGGCTTGTTCGCTATACGACATTATTAAAAGGGTACTGCATTAACAGGATCAACAACTTTGTTGCATATTTGATTAAAAAATTCAAATAAAATGTACTTGTCTTTTGTTGCCAGAACCGCTTGCCACAGGGCAGACAATGATGCTATTATTCTAGGCAAATGGCTTAATGCTGTTCTTCTGGCGTGTTGCTGCAGCTCGTTCGCGCCAGTTTTATCCTTCGCCGTGCACAAATCCTACGGAGAACAAAAACCTTGCCATTCTGTACTGAATAAATCAAATATCGATTGCATGTACCTTACACAATTAAAGCATATATTTTGCCCAACTAACCGGAGAAAGTGGGCTGGGCATAAAGACGTGTATAAGATTGTTGAATATCTGCCCGGGATTAGCACCGGGAATTCCCGTCTGTATCGTGCCACTTAATGGCTGATTAAACGAGAATCCAATCTGCTGGGAGGTGTCCAACAGACAGTAGTGCAGCAAGTATGTCAAAGCCTCCAAATGCGTCACGGTGTAATCTGCGGGCAAGCAGCACTCCACTGTGCTTATATCCTGTAATTTTGATGTCAACGTCGCTTCCTCGCTGATGTAATACGACGCTAGGTGCTCAATATTGTTGCACAGTTGATGAATAACCGATGTTACAACGGATGTTAAAGACGGTCCCATGAAAGGCAGACTGGACGTAACGAGAGTGGTCCAATGTTGATGAAGATGTCTCATGTGATCCTGCAAAAATTCTTATCAATATACGAATTGTTGATTTCGTTTGTGATTTTGTTAGATCGATCGTCACTTTCTAATATTAATCAGATCAGTTTGTAGTTTATATCTATCATTTAAAAATATTATATATAATTTAATAAAATGTCATATCTGTGTTTTATTGTAAAAAAATGTGTATAAACTCCTGAATCGATCTGACAATGTACATTGACATAAATAACGTACGAGTTGCAGGGCGCTAAGAATACTAGCGAGGAACATCGGTTGCTGCGGTATTGCAGCTCCAGAGACGTATTTCAAACTGTTGCCGATCAAGTTTGACGCCCGTGTCGGCGAACTCGGTATGGGCGACGTCGTTGGATTAATTTCTTCTCCTTTTTGACTACTGCACTGATGCTCCAACATAATCAACGACAACAATAATCTTGAAAAACAATAAATCGACCATGAAAAATTACACGATTGCAACTGAAACTGGTTTTAATGCGAGTTTTTCGAGTAGTTTCGTCAGTTGTGGATTAGCGAAATATTCTTGCATACTTACCGCAACAATTGTATCTGGAACGCTTCCGTGTGATCGCTCGCCCTATATTTACATTTGTTAACGTCACTGTCGATAAACGGATCATTAAACAATACGATTTCTTCAGTAAACGTGGAAACATCCTCGTTCTCCTTGTGGGCGTTCTTCATGCTCATAACACTGGACACAAGACAGTGCAGAGCAACCTTTTGTACTTTACATTTAGTTAGCAAATCAACTATGTAACAACTGAAGCCCTTCCCAGAGTCGCGGACGATCGGGATTAACTCGGAAAATATTAGCGTCAGTAATTCCGCGCTCGCAAGTTGCACCTACGAGGAAGATAATTTTATCAACAAGAGTGTTAACAATAAATCCATTAAAAAAAGAATTAATGTTTAATGAAAAATTTTATAGCACTTTGTAATTTCTTTTTCTTTAAAGATATACTGAATTAAGACATTTTCGAAAAATCGAGCACGCACCTGACGATTACCCGCGATCTCTTCGTACGTGAGTCTCATCTGCCCCAGATTTGGGTAGTAGCTTCTCGCGAAGTACAGGCATACGCTTATCAACACTTCCAGGTACATGCTACTCCTGTAAGCCGCTATGAATTCCGTGTTAGCTATGTCACCGTGAAAGTTCCGGCCGAAAACACTTTTCCTATGCCTCGCCAACAAGTTCAACAACACTGTGTTCTTCGTCGCGTTCGTCACGCCGGTCGTCGCCGCGCAGCAGAGGAACATTCGCATGTTCGTCAACAGTTCGTTCCTCAGGGTGCGCAGAGCGTAGAGCGTCCTGGCCGAGTCGTACACCCCGCAGTAGAGCAGCATGTGGGAGTGAAGGTTGTGAACACCCAGGCCGACGTTTCGATTGGTTTTCGCGTTGTGCTGCGGCACTTCCTCCTGCGGGTCAGAAGATATTGAAATACTGGAACGTTCGTCGTCTCGCCGAGCGAGCAAAGTAAATACTCACGCTCTTGGGTGGTTCGGCGATGTCGCACAACTGCATCACGCGTTCGAGCACCTCGTTGAGAATCTCCTCGACTATGCTGGCGCTGGAGTTGCTAAAGTACTCCTCCGCGGTGGTGCTGGCGTCCAGCTCGCCGTCGTCGTCGTCCATCGTCCAGCTCGGCACCTCCGCGCTCGCCTCGAAACTGCCGATGTCGTGATCGTAATTCGCGCTGAACTCGTTCGTGCTGTAATACCTGCCCTTCATGATCGTGCCCGCCACCTCCCTGGAGCTGCCCGGCATTATGACAGTTTCCTTCTTCTGCTTCGACTGCTTGTTGGTTACTTCGGGACTGCTCGAGTCCAAGCTGTTCGTTATGGAATCCGATGACGAGTCGACGTCGTCGTTCAGCTTCTTGTAGCTACTCTTGTCCTTCGCCTTCAGGCTGGAATTGGCCGACTCGAAAAGACTCTCGTCTAAACTGGCAGTGGAGCCTTTGTCGAAGTCAATTTTCTTGAAACGGGTGGCGTTCTTCAGCAGCTCGGTCGTCAGGTTCCCCTTACGCATACCAGGCAGCGAGTCGTCCTCCGTTAAAGAATCGTTGGAATTCTCGTTGCAGTTGATCGAGAGAGGATTCACGAACACGGAGATCTTCCTGTTGCCGGATATACTGGGCGGTACCTCGAGTTCCTTCATAAACTGATTCCTCTCCGTGACATAGTGATTGCAATTGTCGCCGGTCGCCAATGTCGTCACCGCGAAAATCCGCTTTATCTTGACAGGATTGATCGCCTGCTTCTTCTTCTTACCCTTCTTCCACTTTTTGTCCTCGTCGACGTTGTCGCTCACGTGATATATCACGTTGCCGTCGACCGAGCTGATCGCGTAGATCTTCGCCGCGCCCTCCGTGTCGTCCTGGACCTCCGACTTCTCCTCCACGGGGTCGTTCTTCGTTAGGACGGTATTACTGTGCTGTATGCTCACGTGAAGGACGCTCATACGGCACGTGGATGGATCCAGTAGTATTGTCAGCAGGGGATCTATTACGCGCGATATGTCGCCGCGCATCAAGGAATGTAACAGCCACGACTGCGCCTGCAGCTTTAACGGCGAATTGTCCGCAAGCTGAAGATTGTCCAGCATTTTCAACAGGGATCTGCGCAGAAAAGCAGTACTTCGTGAGGATCTACATTAAACTAAAACTGGACGACGGCATTACGGATCATTTTACTCACTGGTCGAAAGTTCGGAGGCAGCCGCGCAACCTCGGATTCGTCTCGATTTCTCGCCCCAAGTGCCACAGAGTGGCGAATCTACCGAATGCCTCGATCCTCTTTTCGGGATTCTCGGAGGTGAGCGCGGATCCTACCAGGTCCTCGACCGCGTCGCAGGAATCGTATAGAGCGTGATGCAATTCGTGCAACAGTTCTACGCAACGCATCCTGAACTTATGGGCGGGAAGCTCGCCCAAGTGATGCCACAAGGAATGTGCCAATACCTTCGTGTTAGAGAAGTAAAGTATGTTTAATATTTAAATAAATCGCATAATAGAAAGGCTAAATGTTATCACATGCCCCAGCGGTCGAATTGGCTAAGACACTCTTCACTGAATAGGTCCGGGGGTTAGACTCTTGAATTCATTAGCAAGAGAAACGTGGAAGTTGCAAGTCGATTGGCCAAAAGCCACGCAATAACCAATCAACTTGCAAGTATTCTGTAAGAGCAGAACTTGCGCCTACGTTTCGCTTGCGAATAAATTAAAAAATCTAGCCCCAGCGTATTAGACACGAAGATTCAGCGTCGTTAGGTATTTCTCTTATGTGATTTAAATATCGACGGTCATCGACGACGACGATGACATTTTTAATGAGATATGAACGTGAAAATCTTGTCAGGGCGTACCTGAAACACATTAGTGTATTGCATCAAGTAGGACAAGTGCCACTGCTTCAACAAGGGTACGATGATAACCGTCGTCATACCCTCTCCGCTTTTCGGATGGGTCTCGACGTCGTTGTGCGCCTTCAACAGTGCCACCAAGTCCAGTAACGTGGCGATGCTCGTTAACTGTAGCGCGGGCTGTTTTTGCAACCAGCAGGAACAGACTATCAAAACTTTCAGCCAATCCGGTAGGACGTGCTCGAACTTGGGCTCCTCCTCCACGAGTACGTCGTTGCCGGGCGAAAAGTACTTGGGAAACGTGGACAGTTCGACGAACAAGCTGGACGCTATTTTCATGGCCTCGATCCACTCCGACTGCGCCGCCGTATCGAGGAACAGGCGAAAGATATCCAGGCACTTGGTACTCTCGGTCACGGATGTGTCCTGACTAAAGAAACCGGAGTCGTCTACGTTTAATCTCGAGTTCAGCAGGTATTCCAAATGGCGCATTCTCTCGTCGAAACTCTTTCTTGGGCAAGACACCACTAAATGATCGAACATATCCTGCACCGTTCTCTCCCTGCTGAGTATCCGGTTGCTAATTAACTTAACGTAAAATGTCTCGTATTGCCGCAGGCACTTTTCCAACATGGAGTGCTGCGCCTGAAACGCCGGAGATGGTCCCCTGCACAAGGATCCCGTCGACCCCATCGGAGTGACGTTCTTCAAGTGCTTCAACGTGGACAGACGGCTGTCCGAGGATTGATTCTTCGACGAGGAGATCCCATCGGTCTCGACGCAGCTCGCTTTAATGTCGTCCATGCTTTTATTCCTAGGCAAGTGTTTCGTGTCTTCGCTCACTACGACGGATATGCCACTGCCGTCAGCCTGTATAGTGTACGTGTCGTTCAACTTGGGTGTGCTCTTGCTCGCCTTCTTCTTCGACTTCTTCTCGCTCCTCTTGGCGGCACCACCGGAATTGGCTCTTCTCCTCGTACTCGGGCTCTTCTCCGCGAAGGGGATGCTGGACGCGTCGGGCTTGTTTAGTTTACTATCCGACTGACTCTTCTCCAGAGGGATCGCCGTTAAGGAATTATCGCTGGGAACCGTGATGTTGTTGAGCGACGCGTCCAACTTGACGTCTACCTCACACCTGTCCGCATGGGCCGTTATCATCGTCGGCTGCACCTTCGACAAGATCTTGCCGCACAATTTCAGGCTCTTCGAGATCTCCGTCGGGGACAGGATGCTACTGTGGTACAAGAGCCTGCTGGTTATCTCGTAAAATAAGCCAGGGAGGTGCTCGGACGGCGTGTCTATAAACGCGTCCAGCGACACGGTCTCGAGTAGGAATTCCGTTAGCACGCACACTTCCACGAGATTCGGCATTCCACTGCCGACCGGTCTTACGGCGACGTCCTCGATCGTGACCTGCGTCCTCGCTCCCGTGCCGCAGGCTTTCTCGAACAGATGGCCGCAATGTATCCAGATGTACGACGGCTCCAGGGTCGAGAATAACAGATTCGCGGACTTGACCACTTCATTCGCCTTCGGCGCGTGACTCGACGCGGACTGCTTGCACGCGTTGTAAAACGTCCTAAAGCGTAACGGGCGGTTATTAGAAAGAAAAATATCAACAGCGTGCTATTTTTATGACGCGCCGACGATCTCACCTGAACACTTCGTACAGAATGTCGTCCAAAATTATCGGCCCAATGTCCACCTTGTCGAGCAGCGAGACGAGTATCCTGTACGGCTTCAGATCTTGCGAGTTTTCCTCGCACACTTCCTTAAGCAGGTACTTTATCGCTTCGACTAGCATTTCCTTCGAATACATATCGAAGTACGTTACGTTCTCTTTAGTGTCCGCGGTCGCAGGGGTTTTCTTCTTTAATATCGACGTGCTCACTTCGGTGCCCAACAGCCAAGCGAACAAACGCCTACAATTGCGCGATAGAAAAATATGTGTAAGGATTTCAACAACGCCATACGTTGCAGCCGCCTCCCTCACCTGTTTAAGCTCATGTCTCTTCGCAAGATGGTAACTAGGGCGGCTCTTATTAACAATATCATATCCTGGTGCGTCAATTGACTGTTGTGCATAGGAAATCCTATCAGCAGGAAATCCAGTGCGCTTCTCTGCACCAACACCGAGGTGTCTTGCACTCCAGCACACAGGGCTGAAATCTTTTACAGATCGGTAACATTAGAGAATCTTAAGATACAGCCAAGCCCCCTGATATGACACAGGCTCTTAACATGAGACGGCGGAGTTTCTGCCAAACAGGCGTCATTCGTCGCCTCCGCCGTGACTTTACTGCCCTCGGAGTGAAATTTCTCTGGTGGAAGATTCATGGTTAAATCACGAATCGTTGCTCGCGATTGAATTTGGACGCTGAAAACCTGCTGTCTCACATTAGAAGACTATCTCATAACAGGGGGACTTTCCTCCACACATCTTCGGCGTTGGCAAGTTTCTTCTCACCATAATTTTGGTATTGGTGCCCATAATGTATCTTTGCTCCTCCATCGACAGTTTCTTGTTGAAATGCGCTAGGACAAACGATATCGCGGGCAGCCGAATGCCGGAGTTCGAAGCCAAGCAGTCCCAGAGGCACGCGTAAAAGTGTTCCGCGCCCACGCCCTCGCACACCTTCTCCAGTAAGGAGTTCGTTCTGTGCGGGAAATAATTGTCCCATAAGTCCGCCTATTATCTACACGTTATTTACGAGCGCGGCGAGAAATAATAGCCTCGAGCCCACCTGTCGAAGTGATCGGATCCGTCTTCCAGGCCCAGGAGGACGCCGCTCAGGAAGCCGCTCAGTCCCGGCCTCAGCCTCTCGCCGAGCGGCACAAAGTGCGTCTCGTACACCGTCAACAGTGACGGCCTGACGTTCATAGCGGCGTGGCCCAGCAACGGAAACAGCCCTGAACGAGAACAGACGAGTACGTAGAACGTGTTCCGCCGATTTCTCTCGCACGGCGGAGAAAAGCTGTACCTACCCGCGCTGTAGATGAAGAGCTCGTGGCTGAGCCTATTGGTGCCCATACACTTGAAGATGATGTCGTACGTTTCTAAAGCCTTGAGGTGAACGCCGGAGGGTAGCGCCGGGTGCATGCACTGGGCCAGTCTCTTGGATATCTTGATCCTCCTCGGAATGACGGGGAACTTCATGTGGCTCAGCAGCACCTTGTTGAGCTTGCCCAGGGCGGAGATTAAGTCCGCCCACTCGCTCGTGTACTCGAAGCTCTTCAGGGCCTTGTCGACGGCGGACACGTAGCTGCGCAAAAGACAAATACGGCACGGGTTGGTCGTTTGGTCGCAACGCGCGGCGAGGCGCCAGCCAAGAGTTGCTGCCGCGGGGGCCCAGGAAGTAAGAAAGCGAACGAAAAGTGAAACAATATAAACACGTGTGCAATCGCGGCGAGCTTTTCCAACGGGAACCCAGACGCCGAGCGACAAAAGCGTCAATTATCACGGCGGTGCTAAACGCTGCTGAATCTACTTACACCCGATACTTCGAGTCCTTCATCAACTCGTACTCCTCCAGAGCGATGGAACCCATTGTTGCGCCTCTTTCTCTCTCGCTCTCTTTCTCGGCCGAACCAACTACGCTGCGACGACGCTGCTCCTCCACGTTTTACATGATTCCAGATCCAATCTCTCGGGCGAGATGAGTCACGGCGAGGCTTCCCAATTACGCTGCGGCTCTTATCGCGCGGTGCATCGCGCTCCGATAAGGCCCCGGGGTACCGCGGGGCACCTGGAAATCACAAGTCCACCGCGTTACCATCCACGGCGGGCGCCCCGGCGGTCTCGCGCGGCGATCCGGAAATTTACCCTCGCGTTCTACCTCACCGGACGAGCGAGCGTCCGCGCAGCCCGACGACTGGGTCGTTCATGGTCGCCTGGGGCCGCCGTCTCCCGCGGCTGTGTTTACACGAGCCGAACCTATCGTCGGCCCCCGCTAACGGCTTGGTTAATCTCGCCTCGCTCTCCCTCCACCGGCCAATTCAGCGGCGACCCACACCGTCTCTAGGAATCTCTTCTCCCCCCCCCCCCCCCGGCGAGGTACCCGCCGACGTTGATCCTCTCTCGCGCGGATACGCGACGCGCTCGGCCGTTCGTCAAGTCCGCAGTCCCCAGCTGTCCTCCAGCTGTATCCGGCGGGACCGTACGTGGCGTAACGCGCGCGCGCGCGTGTGTTTCCGATCTGATTTACTCGGTTTCCGCTCGCCGCGCGGGCACCGGAGACTGTGACGGCTCTTGCCGCCCGCGCGGTCGACGTTGGACGTCTTTGAGCTGCGCGCGTGACGACGTGGCGGCCGCCGACGTGAATGAGAAACACGCGGACACGGCGGGTCGACCTCTCTCGACGGACTCGCAAACGACCGATTGAGCCCCGATTAGTTTAATCGACGGGCAATCGCTCGGGGCGATTTCTAAAAGGCCGAGTTCACCAACGTCGCTCAGCCTCGGCCTTGGTTTAATTCCATCGTTCGTCTCTTTGCCGTGGCAACAGTTGGAAAGGGACGAGGGATGAATTGAGCCGAGCTTAAAATTAAGCGACGTTCGCGACACCGCGTACGTTTCTACCAAAGTACGGATTAACTTCAATCCCGGTTTAACTTACTTTTCGTCCTTTTTCTTCTCGACACGGTTTCACCAAACGTCGCTTAAGCTTTTAGTTTAATTCGTTATCTGCCTCTTTCCGACTGCCGGCTCCGGTTTCACCAAACGTTGCTCAAGTTTAATTCACATTTGTCCGTTTCTAGAGTAACAGTTGGAAAGAGACGAAGAACGAATTAAGCTAAGCTTAAACGCTAAGCGACGTTGGTGAAACCAGGCCTTAC